CATAAACTGTTCAAATTATTGATAAAGCAAGGAGTTTACATAGTGTGACCTTTGACCAAATGACCTCAAAATCAATAGCGGGCATCCACAGGTCATGACAATCCACCAACAAGGTTTAATAAACATATAAGCCTTATTCTTCCATAAATGATTGATAAAATAAGGATTTTACATATAGTGCCTTTGTGACCTTGACCTAATGACATTATAACCAATAGCGTTCATCTACTAGTCATGACCAACCTACACTAAAGCCTAAATCTTATGACTGTAGGCCAAGGTGTCCTCTAGTTATTGTTTGGACACATTGACTTACATGTATTGATATCAAAGTCAATATGGGTAATCTTTTAGTCATAACCAACTTTCGCACCAAACAAAGGACCAATCGTTCCCTAGTTATTGGTTGGGCTTATTTTAAGATGACCTTGACTTAATAACCTCAAAATCAATTTGGGTTTCTACTGACATAGACCACAGTTTTATCATTCTCAAGTCATTGATTGGCCGAGGAAGGGGTGACGCCCAAACATAACAATCGGACATGGTGGTCTATTGTTGCTATTATCATCTGTAAGATTTGGTCGCTTTTTTTCTGGTTCTGTTTTCCAATAAAGCTTAAAGAACAGTATACATTTGTGAACTGCCTCTGACAACACAGTGTTAAATCTATGTTCGCTATCTGTCTTGCTATTGTTTAAATTTATAGTTGAACTGTTCAAAAGAAGATCTATTACATGATGGGACTGACGATATGTCATAATGATGATGATGATAATACATACATGTAAAATGTAATATTTAACGAACAAAAATGCCGTGTCATATCCGTGTCTTGTTTTCTGTATGTAAAAGGCATGTTGGTGTCTCTGCGAGGGGTTTTATGAGGCACGTTCATAATTTGTTCACTATTAACCTTCCAAATATTCTCTTTTAACAGATATGTATTTTTTCTTGCTAAAATACAACATTGCGTAACGACAGAAAAACACGCACTTTTTTGACAATGGAAATTGACAAGCAATGTGAGAATCATACTGCAAAAGAGGAATGCACAAGATGTTTGAAGAATTATCTTTACTATTGTCAAGGCATTGTTCTTATAACAGTTACCAGCAATTGTTGGGCTATTTTGACTGGCATTTAAACAATACAGAAGGTTCCTCAGAATTAAAAAAAGAGACAGAAAATACGACAAACAAAGATATTCCCGTGCTTAATTATTATTCCGTTGGCAACAAATTAACCCAGCTCGGATTGCTTGCTTAGCGCGTCTCTATGGCTTAACAAAATGACTTACATGTAAGTTTATTCTCAGGTAAGCAAATCAGGAATTCGACGTTTGTAACAAAGTTTGAACATGTTTTAGAAGACACTTAGTTACTTTTACACGGGAATGCAGGACCTATACCAAGCCCTAACAAAGAAAGCACGGCATCTTGTTTTAAAAAAAAAACATTGCCTTTGCATGATGTTAGCATCAGCTTTGGGCACAGCGGCCGGGTATAGCGACCATGTTTTAAGTCAATTTTTGTTTACTATGAGACACATTGCCAAGTCATTGTCAGCAATTAATCAGTTGTTTGTTTTTAAAAATACCTGAATCTTTAAGATTATTATATTTCATTGTTAACACAGTTTTTGTTGAGCATAAAAATGGCATCCAAATGTAAACGAACGACTTGAATACCAACACAGTCATTCCTTCAAAATACAATTCTAGAATCAATTAATTATATCTACAATGCGACTACTTAGAATAATCACGCTGACAACATCGTAAAAGCTAATCATTCAAATGCTACGTTTCTAAAATATCAAGCCCCAGCCTACCCCTCCCCCCAGCCCACTGAATCCCTGGAATGTGCAGCTCGAGTATCATAGTTTCAATATCTGATCACAAAGGGAGCTCAGTATTATTTTGCTAATGGAATCCATGCATACAGTGCTTCAGAAGACTATTGGGCTAAAGGGGGTTTCAAGTACGCAACAAACGACATGCCAGAGTGAAAATACCTTAAACTACGACACCTGAGTATGCTCCAAATGTGAAGTCATTTTGCCCTACTACCCCAAGCCTGCAAGAGGACCCACACGAAATTCTTATTTCCAGCTATCCAAATAAAGCCAACTAACAATTTCTTACTGCAAGGACCTGCATGATTTTTGTATAATCCTTGATAAAAATGTTGTTTCACATGAGTGTTTTGAATTCATAGATCTTACCGCAGAACAATGGAGGAGAAATTTCTTTTAAGCAAGGAGGATCCGTGATCTGAAATATGAAAAACAAGATCATCAAGGAAAGGTGGCGTTCAATGAACACAACCCCCTCATGATTCAGCAACACAGGACCACCAGGAAGGAGCCCAACAGGACCCCTGAGTATGAAAACCGTGCATAGTTGGTTCATTCTTGTACTATACGGCGTTGTTTGTTGTTGTTTATTGTGTGTGTGTGTGTGTGTGTGTGTGTGTGTGCGCGTGCGTGCGTGCGTGCGTGTCATTAATCAGTTTTAATAAAAACATTTAAATATTTGAATGGGAGTTTGACGTATAACGTCCTATTCCCGAGACATACTTCTTTTTCACAGATATTGACAAGAGAAAAAACAAACTTGTGTGCATGTCTTTTAATGATATAAAGAAATGTATAATTATGATTGATATTTTAATATAAATTAGAAACTGTAGCAAAAATACAAATTTAAACTGTTATAGCAAAACTCTAGCAAGAATATATCTTTACTTTTTACAACCTTTTTTACAGCTATATGTATAACTTTAACCCTTTCCCTCATGAGCTTATTGTGAAAAATGGCCGTTTTCATTGAAAAGCCTCCTGTTACAAGTTCAGACTGCTATGAAACTATGAAAAATGCTTCAATACTAATCAAACTTGGCACAAATGCTGACTGGACCATTGTCTTTGTAACGACATGCTCAGTCTTAAATTTCCTTTTACCATGGCAACGAGGGTACATCTCAAAATTGCCAAAAATCACTACTTTGCGTTGATTTTTTTCCATCATATTTGATTTCAAAGTGCTGCAACTTCTCAATGGATTGAGATAGAGTCAAAGGCTTTTCAACGTTGGTTACACATTACCTTATGATCGACCTGGGGTCATTTTTAGCCTCTCACAAGTCCAAAATTTTCTTGGCGATAAGGGGGGCTACCGTCCCCCTTCAAACCCCCCAAACAGAAGGGGTCACATCCCCCTCTGGCAACCCCCTGATGTATCTATTTGATGGGGGCGAGGTCGAAAAAGTCATCACTTTTTTAGCAACATTTCCAAATCAAAAAACAGTGTTTGGGGTTTAAATAGGGTTTTTCACTGTTTGAGACCTCAAAAAGGGGATGGGGTGAAAAGCCGTCAAAACACGTCTATATGAAGTAAAGGGTTATAAATATATTTTTAGATGACCAACACACAGGAACTGGTGTTAGTTGTTATTCTATGAGTAGTAAACTCTGTGGTGAAAAGGGGGGAATATTTAGGTCTTGTTTTTATAAAAAAAAATCTTTAAGAGCACGTGTACATTCTAGAAGAGATGGCGATGACGCCTCATGTGATTGTCTTGCAGCTACTTTGCAGCAGGAGACACAAAAATCATTAACAGGGTAAAACACGATTTATCTTTTATTCTAGGGCCATAACTTGGCCAAACAATCATTTAACGGGAAAACCCATGTAATATGCGCGAGTACTTGACATACCAATCAATCCTGTAAAGATTCATTGAAATTGGATTACTTGTATAAGATGCGTAGTCTGGACAAATTTGTTAAAAAATTAAAGAGCCATAACTCCGACAAAAAATGACTGAACCATAAAATTTCAATGATATGCACAACTTAACATGGTATTGATCATTCCTGTAAAATTGATGAAATTGCACTGGTAGTCCAGACAAATTTCGGTGTAGCTGACAACAACAAAAAAAAACAACACTTTTCTATTCAAGGGCCATTACCTCGGCCAAAAATCATCCAAGCGTAAAACCTGTGTAATATGCGTAAGTACTTGACCTACCAATCAATGCTGTAAAGTTTCATTGAAATTGAATTAGTTGTTTAAGTGGAGTAGTCCAGACAAACTTTAGAAATAAAGATAATTAAAGGTATAACAGCGACAACAATTATTGAACCTTATAAAGCCGATGTATCAGACTTGATACTGATAGTTCCTGTAAAGTTTAGATGAAATTGCACCAGTAGTTTTCTGAGGAGTGGTCCACCACAAGCTTTTGTGTAGCTGACACCACCCCAAATACAACCACAGGTGGCAGTATCAGTGTTTGGACATCCACCCATATCTGCCCCTGGACCCATACTACAAAAAAAATTCCACTATCAAAATTATAGTTTTAGATCTATATCCAGATCTATACATGTATATAGATCTATATCTATAATTTTGATAGCGGATTTTTTTTTTATTGGTGGTTTTGTATTTGGTACCATATAGTAAGCCTTAGAGTATTGAATTATTTTTACAGGGTTGTAGTAGGGGTTCAGGGGCAGGTAAGGGTGGGTGTCCAAACACTGATACTGTCACCTGTGATTATTCAAGAGCCATAAGTTAACCGTGCCAAAAATCATTCAACCGGAAAACTTGTAATATGCGCAAGTACTTGAGCTACAGAACAATCCTGTAAAGTTTATTGAAATTGCGTGTGTGGTATAAGAGGAGAAGTCCGATCAATCTTTAAAAAATAAAAGTATTAAAGAGCCATAACTCTGAAAAAAAATCTTTGACACAGTTCTAGACTTGGTACTGATCATTCCTGTAAAGTTTGGCTGAAATTGTACCAGTAGTTTTATGACGGACAGACAGACAGACAGACGTAGGAGAAGTGATCCCTATATGTCTCCACATCTCAGTAGAGGCGACACAAAAATAAAATGCAATTAATAATAGCGACACTATAAACTAATTGTTTCAGACCACTAAATTATTTAGTCATTAATACAATTTGTATTTCTACCGCTTCACCTCCAACCGGAAATGAGCTGGAGGAAAAAGTAAACATGGCTGCTCAAATTGCAGTCCTAATTAGTTTAAACTTATTTTTTTCTAACATAAGGCTTTCGCAAGCCTCGACGCATTGGGTTGTTACAGAAGATGGAAAAGTTCAGGCTCAGGTAGTTGTCATTTGCATACTTATATGTGAATATGTGAAAAATTTATTCTAAAATTCAAACATAATTTTCTAAAATAACCTGTGTGTACTCTGAAGATACAAGTAGAATTATTGATTAAACGCTTGTTGCGAACAGTCAACTACTGGCCATAGCAACTGCTGCTTTTGACTGGATTCAGTGCCATATATGCAAATTTGCAAGATTTTAACCTTGCATCTAATATAAATGATATAACAGACATGAAAACAAAATAAGACTTTGTACATGTACTGTATCTATTTATTTTCCTTGTTTAATGTTAAAGGGTAAAATGACATCTGACAATGAGAGAAATAAGTTAAAATATATATTCATATTTATATTGTTATTCATAGCAGGGCCGGCAAAATCTGAATTTGACTAACTTGTCTGTATTAATCTGAAGCATTTCTTAACTTGTCGGTATAACATAATAAACATATATAGTAAATTCTTGAAAATTTCCACTTGTCCGTAGTTGTGGGACAACCTGGGCAATACGGACAATTGATTTTGCCGTCCCTGCATAGAATAACATTCAATTTAGCAGACTGTCTGACAACTATGAAAAACTTTTTAGTACATGTAGTTATCAGTTCAAAGGTCATTGAATTGTTGTTCTGTTATTAACATTGTCATTTCATTTTGTAAGTGACTTTTTTAACAATTTTTAATTATCTCCCTTAGCCCCTGTTTAAACATCACTCAATCAATAATTTATTGTAACATGTACAAGTCAGACATAGAAAAATAATAATAATGCTAAAAATGCTTTTCCTATTTACATTGCAAGTAGATAATCTGCAATATATGTATTGAATTATTCTTTCTGCTTGTAGATGGACTCGGTGTTTAACATGAAAAGGCCATATGACCTTGTTGCCTTTATGAAACAAGAGGAGAGAGCCAATATGCTAGACAAACTGAAGCAGGAACTGCTCTCTAGGAAAGTTGAGATAGACAGTACAGAGGACAGAGATACAGGTGATTATTTCTGCTTAAATAGTGGCTCATTATATAGCCCTTTACCCAATTCACAATACAATTTCGACTGGGCATTTTTTGCACCAAGGGACAATATATGGTCCTATTCCGAATTCATACCTTACTGCTACCTGTCCAGGCATGATAACTAACAACTTATTCTGTCAGTAAATATTTTGTAATTTTCCCTCAGTTTTGTCCGGATTGAAAGTCCATTTTGAGACATTTAGGTGGAAGATGGGTTAAAATATATATCATGCACAAAATTTACAATGTTAAAATGCTGATTATTGCTAATTAGTACCTTTTTAAATGTAAAAATAAACAGTAGTACTTAAATTCAAAGGAGTATTAGACGTTTGAAATGTCATTGTTAAGGAAGTAACTAATAATATTTTCCAGGAAAAAAATGTTGTATGAAGTTGCTCTTTAGTAAAAATTAATTGTTTAAGGAGATATATTTAATTAAATAAGAATTTAATATGGCTTTAATACGTTTTTTAAGAATAAAAATGTTATCACATTTTAACAGTTTATGAATTCACTGGAGTTGCTTGTTTATTTTATTTAAAAGCATTGATCGTCATTAAATTCCACATGTATATTCTTTATAAATTTTAATCAATTTTTTAACAAAAGCATGTCATTTTCAAACATTGAACAAGGTTGATTTGTTTCTAAATTATGTATTGACTATTTGAAAGGTCTGAAGTTTCAATCCATTAAACAAATAGTGTTGCTTTGTTCAGACCAGACTGTCTGCTAAAGACAATTATTCTCCCAAACAGTTTATTGGTAATATTGTTCCACTGGCAAAAATAAAACATAACAAACATGTTTTTACCTGTATAAGCCTTTCACTAAGTTTAAGTATAAATTTAAAGTAAGTGTTGCAATAGTTGAAAAAGATGTACCTGCAGTGTACAATCAAACCTGTGTTATAGACCACCTCTGAATAAGATAACCTTGCTAATAAAGATAACCCTTCACTGATTGATAATAATGAAAAAAGTAACCTCCAGGGACTGCGTTCAGGGCATTTAATAGGAATTTTACGGTATGATATAAACTGTAATGTTGGTGTTATGCTCGCTTGTTTTAGTTATCCCAAGTCAAACATTATATATAACATTGCTAAAAAGTATGTTTTCTTGTAACAAAGTGAGACTTCTCCCTTCAGACAAAGTAGAGCGATATGTGCACAAGGCAAGGAATATGGTTTTTAAATTGAATCAATATTCTATGACCATTATGAATCAGTATTGGATCAAATGTTAAATATCATCGATATAATAATATGAGCCGCGTCACGACAAAATCAACATAATGGGTTTGCGACCAGCATGGATCCAGACCAGTCTGCGCATCCAGATCCATGCTGCATCAGGATCCATGCTGTTCGCTTACAAACCCTATAGCAAGGAGAAAAACTGATAGCGAACAGCATGGATCCTGATCAGACTGCACAGTGCGCAGGCTGGTCTGGATCCATGCTGGTTGCAAACCCACTATGTTGGTTTTGTCGTGACGCGGCTCATACATAGATGTCATGATACTCAATGACAGCCTAAGTGAAATGTGGTTATAACAGATAAGTCAGGGCCATGATTACGCTATATTGAGGACCAAGTGGTGTTATGCCATTACAAATTACTGAACTTTTCAACACAGATGAAAAATTCACGAAAATCATATTTCTTCGTCATTTGAAGTCACAGTAAAAGTGCCTGTAATGTATTCATACAAATTTACATTACATGTAACTGTTTCATTTTCTGCATTAATTTATTCATAGCATGTTAAAACATATTCATAGAAAGAGTTAAATAATTAATAACCCGTGGTTTGATCAATAATAACTATCGTGCATTACGTCCCAAGAGCTTTATTGATAAGTTTTTTTAAAAGGTCATCCATTTAGCTGCAATCAACAAAAGTGTTTTCCAATAATAATGCCATATTTTAGCTTCATATGAAATCATTAATGATTAATGGCAATAAAACACAAAGTGTTCAACATTGCCATTTGATATCTCAAGAGATAAGGGTGCCCAACCCATGTGATATTTTGATAGCGTAGTTGTACAAAGTTCTAAAACCATAATTTATAACATTTCATTTTTCATCAATTTTTAACAAAATAATAATTTTATCATTTTTGTCAAGTTTTACATAATAAAAAATTATAGATGAATAAAGTAACTGTTGGTTAACTTAAAAAAGCATCAAACCAACTTTAGGCAACAGTAAACATTTATTTTGCTCTGTGATACTCCGGTATGTTCTTCCTATGTCATGTCCATTATAAATACAAGCCTTGTTTATTACTGGGCATTTTTGATAGGTAGGGGAAAGGGCCATTCTCTTTAATTTGGGG